GTACTCTGCTGGTAGACTGTCAGTCCCCGAGGCTGGCCGTAATCTGCTGGTAGACTGTCAGTTCCCGAGGCTGGCCGTACTCTACTGGTAGACTGTCAGTCCGTACTCTGCTGGTAGACTGTCAGTCCCCGAGGCTGGCCGTAATCTGCTGGTAGACTGTCAGTTCCCGAGGCTGGCCGTACTCTACTGGTAGACTGTCAGTCCGTACTCTGCTGGTAGACTGTCAGTCCCCGAGGCTGGCCGTAATCTGCTGGTAGACTGTCAGTCCCCGAGGCTGGCTGTACTCTGCTGGTAGACTGTCAGTCCCCGAGGCTGGCTGTATTCTGCTAGTAGACTGTCAGTCCCCGAGGCTGGCCGTACTCTGCTGGTAGCGTGTCAGTCCCTGAGGCTGCCTGTCACTTTGTAGTTTGAATTTTCACTGGCACGGTCCACAAGGAATATTATTTTAAACATAAATGATCTACTGTAGCCAAAAGTTATCAAGTAAAGTTATACAGTGATATATATAGCTGTTCCCTTTTCATTTCATTTCATCAGATTTTATTGACTTTATATATGTCAATTGGATTGGACATCAGGTTAGGCCTATTCTTTCCAATGTTATTAACAAACATTACATATGTTCTGTCATAACAATCCAATTAAACAGTGCAGGGGAGATAACTCCAATATAACTTGTGAAATGAACATTTTCAACTTTGCTTTAATCATTTTCTGTTTATGTTTTAGATATTAATAATTGAATAAATCATGTATATTTATTGACAACCCATCCTACATAAAATCCAAGGGATACAGGCCCAAAAGTCATTGTGTAGGATATATAGGATAAGTTACCAAGAAATAAACATTTTGTAAAATTTCAGAATATGATATGGATTCATATAGGAAAATGTAGTTCTTATTATATATTATTGGAGTTGATTCTCTTAAAATGTATTTAACAAAGCACTATAGAATATTCATGTAACTATGAAATAGTTAGAACAGGTTATAGAATAGTACACTCATAAATTTCATCCAGTCCAGCCGAATACCAGAGATGTTGTGAAGATAGATATACACCAGTATCAATACTTATTAGCAGAGTGATCATGACACTATAAATAATAGCATCACTTTCAATGTAAAGTTTTGCTGTGAGTGAGATTACATATCAAGCCTATTAGTTTGACAAATGTAGTCAGATATACTTTGTAAAATGGATATGTTAATATCAGCGCTGCATATTAAGCATCCCTTTAATAGAGTTTTTAGATTAAAATGATCATGATTACCAGTTATACAAAATTGAGAATTTTTGATTACTAATTGCATTCTAAAGTTGTTATAGAGTGGGCATTCAAATATAAAATGAAATGCATTTTCATTTTCATGTCCACATCTACATGCTGGTGTGTCATTCAGATGATCCATATATAAGTCACTATTTAGGTTGCTAGCATGATTTCTCAGCTGACAAATTATGATATTGAATTTTCTTGGCCCATAGTATTTAAATATGCTAGCAATTTCTTCAGTGTTGTTCATATTATCAGACTTGATGAAATTTTTAAATTGTTGAAGATAATTAGCATTTAAAGTTTCTGGAGACAGAAGGTTAAATTCTCTACACATTGAGGGAAAATAACTATTGAAATAATTCTCAGTTCTACAGAAAGGAGGATTGAAAATACGGCTATTTCTTAGTGGGTAACTTACATTTATATTGCTGTGAAGGTATGGTTCAATGGTGTCTTCTAAGTACTTAGGCGATTCATTATTTAAAATTTTGAACATGAGTGCTAATTTATGATTTTTTCGCCTACAACAAAGTGATTCAAGTCCAGTTTCTGAATAAAGCTTACAATGAGAGGACCCTCTACGCAATCCTGTAATAATCCTTAATGCCTCTAGCTGGATTGACTCAAGAATATTTTTATTTTGGTTATTACAGTTATCCCATGCTACATCCCCATATTCAAGTATTGGTCTAATAAAAGGGGTATATATTGTTTTAAGACTTTTTCTATCCAATTTGAGTTTTAACATTCTCAATATATTCATTCTTTATAAGCTAGCTCATAAATACTGTCAAAATGATATGTCCATTTTCCATCACTACTAAAAGTTAAACCAAGATGCTTATGAGTTTGTTTGTTAGTTACAGTTTCATTACCAAATAAGATATCTGGATGATTTAGCTCCCTTTTCCTCGAGAAGATTACAGATTCAGTTTTTAGTGAATTAAATTTGATATCCCATTTATTTGCCCATGCATTAATATTACCTAGATCATTACTCAATTTCACTGCAATTTCATTTTGATTGTTGTCTATTACTTCATAGAGAGAAGTATCATCTGCAAAAAGTTGTCAGATGAGTATGCATTCGTTAAATCTTAAGTTCAGTCAACCTCTTTAGCAAAACTGTTTTTATTGACATTATTTTGCATAAATGATGGTGTCTTGGTCCAGGGGAGTTAAATCTTAGAAAGTAACATTGAGGCCGATTTCATACATAATATCCACTGTTTAGCAATCAAACATTGCTTGAAGATAATTTGCTTGATTTTGCATGATTGGTATAGTATGATTCCAGTAGACGTTGACAGGTGCTTCTGTATATTATGATTGGTATAGGATGATTCCAGTAGACGTTGACAGGTGCTATATTATGATTGGTATAGGGTGATTCCAGTAAACGTTGACAGGTGTTATATTATGATTGGTATAGGGTGATTCCAGTAAACGCTGACAGGTGCTGTAACAACCAAACACAATCATTATAGACAAACATTTGCTTGTAGTACTTCACAGACGACACCATAATAAAAACGAAAATCGATTATTTTTTCGTAATATTTGAAATTACAATAATTTAGCACTGTATATTTTGCTTATTTAAAATGAATACTAGTTGAAGTTCTTATTCTGTTTCTGTATTGAAGGACTGTAAACCAGCTGTTTGTATCTTACAGGCCAGTCAGGGTGCGGAACCCACACATCAAGTCCCTTATTCTGTTCCTGTATAGAAGGACTGTAAACCAGCTGTTTTTATCTCCAATCTTGTTTTTACAGGCCAGTCAGGGTGCGGAACCCACACATCAAGTCCCTCAGCGTCGATCACCTATACCACATCGCCCTTGACACCTCGGACATAAACAAACTCGAGACCCTCTTCGGGGATGTCAAGGTGAGTGTAAGCAAGGCGTGCGTTAGGACGAGTACTTCGCGACCAAAGAAAACAAGGCGTGCGTTTATGCATGTATGTCACGACCGGTGAGAACAAGGCGTGCGTTTATACATGTATGTCACGACCAGTGAGAACAAGGCATGCGTTTATACATGTATGTCACGACCGGTGAAAACAAGGCATGCGTTTATACATATATGTCACGACCAGTGAGAACAAGGCATGCGTTTATACATGTATGTCACGACCGGTGAAAACAAGGCATGCGTTTATACATGTATGTCACGACCGGTGAAAACAAGGCATGCGTTTATACATGTATGTCACGACCGGTGAGAACAAGGCATGCGTTTATACATGTATGTCACGACCGGTGAAAACAAGGCATGCGTTTATACATGTATGTCACGACCGGTGAAAACAAGGCATGCGTTTATACATGTATGTCACGACCGGTGAAAACAAGGCATGCGTTTATACATGTATGTCACGACCGGTGAAAACAAGGCATGCGTTTATACATGTATGTCACGACCGGTGAAAACAAGGCATGCGTTTATACATGTATGTCACGACCGGTGAAAACAAGGCATGCGTTTATACATGTATGTCACGACCGGTGAGAACAAGGCGTGCGTTTATACATGTATGTTACGACCGGTGAAAACAAGGCATGCGTTTATACATGTATGTCACGACCGGTGAAAACAATGCGTACAGACGGGTACGTCACAGTCAGTTGATGCTTGTTAGTTTCTAGAAGAATCTACGTTGATTTGGTATATTTCTCCTCTATTGTTAATATTCATATAATTAAGACTCTTTTACGGATCTTCCCTTCTGTTTCAACAGTAGTTTACACCAATCTGGATGTCCACCTTTTGATCTCTAGTAAATGCTGTATGGTATGATTGGGCAGTCTAAGTCATTTATGACATACTGTGTCTATTGTTTTATAGGTACATTCACAAGTATGTCTTACGTTCAATAACAAGTATAATGTTCTGTTCTGTTTTGCAGTTCGTATGTTTCGGGGGTTCGCCTTCCCGGATGGAAGGGTTTGTTGACTACATCAACAGAGAACTAGGCCTCAACGAAAATGGCCATTGTCCGCAGAACTACGCTGCCGGGACTGACCGCTACTGTGTGTACAAAGCGGGACCAGTTCTGTCTGTTAGCGTACGTATTTGTTCACAAATGTCTGACGCATTTCCTCTGAAATTTTAATTATTTGCCATCACAGTAGCCAATCTAGATTTCCTCGGCCGCCGGCACATATACACCCATGCACGCACACAATATACATAGAGACACGTCCTTAAATAAAATAAAACCAAACCAAACCCATCTGAAATTCCGATGTCCATGTAATCGTTCTACTAGTTCTGTTATTACTTTCGGCCTTACGACCCATCAGTGAAAGCATATAATGTAGAGTAGGATATAGCCATACAGTCCTGAACTAGTCAGTAGGATCACAAATTAATACAGCAGAATCGTCATTGTGGGCGGTTCATTGATGATAGTCCCAATCAGGATCTCATCGCTCCAGTCGGTGATTCTACTATAGTGCATTGTTACCTGACAATTGTCCAACTAGCAGCAACGAGATTTATTATGGTTTGTTCTCTATGGTTGATATATTTAACAGAAAAAATGACAAATTAATCGACAAGTAAAATTCATTTTCACCTTCTTTTGGATAAAGCAAGTAATGAAAATCGCATATTTGACCAAATTAAAATAGTCTATCTTCTTCCTGTGTAAATCCTAGTACTCGAAATTAAAAGTATGACAAGACTTTCGAATAAATAAAAAGATTTGATCAAATATTAAATCGACGTCATTGAGTTAAATTATTTAAGTATCAATGTGGCCCAAAAGCATTCTCACGTTTGAAGTTTTTGGCTATGAAAGTCTTGTATGCTATCTGTATTTAGCTTTCATACATGGCCGATCGATAACTTTGTAAAACGGATCGCCCTAAAATGGTAATTTTCATTCTATGAATTAGAAGTGCAAACTTAAAACAACTTTGCATTGTACTCTGGACAAGTGGGAACTTTTTTTTAAAATAATGTTTGAAAAAAAAAAAAAAAAAATGTTTTTGTAAATTGTCATGCTATGGCGTTTATGCCTAAAGTAATCGGACAAAATAAATAAAAATATGAAAATTTTATTGTTCAAAATCATGAAGCAGTTTTAGCTAAATTTGGGCGAGATGAGGTTGTTATAGAATATCCTTTTCTAAAACATCTTAACAAAGATTGCATCACTTCTAAACATTATAAACATAGAAAATAATGTAACTAACTTATAAGCCTTCGATTGTGTTATTTCTAAAATGCTAGTTGCATTAATGAGAATATCGTTGAATGTGGACATAAAATAGTTTAAAAAAAGGTAAGAATCACCCCTGTTGGAAAGACAGAATTTTTGCATGTTGATTTAGTTTTTTCGTGAAAGCAACATTGCCATACATACAAATAAATTCAGAAGTCGTATTGGAATCAGTACAACGTTTTTAGCCATAAGGATAGATGAATACGTTTCCAATGCAATTCTGCAATGTACTTTAGTTGGTCTTGTTAAACTTTAATTCCCTTTACTCAAATTCACAAGACGTTTAATGTTAAACTATACATAAGTGAACTACCACTATTCCGCATGATTACACCACCCCACCTGGGGTTCTACTGCTTCCGGAGTAATACTTGTTCTACCTAAATCATTTCTGTTGTAGTTAGTTTGGGCTCATGTAGAATCTTCAATTGGAGTAATAAATGAGTATTGGGATTATTGAAATCGCCATACGGAGTAGTAGAATCGCCAATAAGAGTAGTGAAACCAAACAGGTACTGAAAATATATTTGGGTAGTATAATTTACCATTAACTGAAGTGAATCACAAATGTTGTTGGTGAATACAAATTTGAGAAGTATTATCACCATAACGTTGGTATCGCAATCACCTCTAATACATACACCTTATGTCATCATGTCTTCCATCTTCGATACTCCTGGGGTTACGCTAAAGTTCGCGTGCAGAGAGCGAAAGTGAGCCTAACCCCTGGATATCTACAGACAAGTAGACAGTGGTATAACACACATTGCAATGCTATTTTACAGCACGGGATCGGAATGCCTTCCCTGTCGGTCGTGTTCAACGAAATCGTCAAACTCATGCACTATGCCAAATGCCGTGACGTAACGTTTTTCAGAATAGGAACAAGTGGAGGAATCGGTAAGGCATAAACATTGATAGAGTTAGCCCCCTTCTCTTGGAAAACCCATAACTAAATTCTTGGAAATGTTGTACGGAATTTTCATGAAAGATAAAATAGTTACAATGTATAGATATAGTCAGATATAAACGACTACTGGCTCTTTACACTCCTCAGAACTTTCACATTATTATAGAATGGGTTACATTAAACGTAATGCGTTGCCTGTCAATGTCTGCCTGCAGGTGTAGAGCCGGGCAGTGTAGTCCTAACAGAGAAGGCAGTTGACGGCGAGTTTTCACACTTCTATAAGATGGTGAGTTTTGTAAGATTCCAGTCGTATCAAATAAATGAGAAATTTTTGAAAACTATGTGTTGTCCCTATTTTCGTGATTTCCCGTGTATACTACGACAATTCCATTACTGAAAGGTTTCTGACAGCCAATTCGAACGTGCGCTAGCAATAATGATAAACCGTTGTAAAAGTTTTCATTAGCTATGATCGAATACTGATTTTGGTTGACAGAAATTGATGTTGTATTGTTATTTATAAACTTTCATTGCAAATACGAATTAATTGGTCAAAACATGCCTCACATCTCCACATATAAATTAACGTTTTAGTTTTGAATTGAGGCATCAAACTCCATACACCTGAAATGGAGCTAATCAAACACCATGGTATGGAATTCTGTAATATTACTATCAAGATCATATAATTTCGTTTTTGTAAATGCAACAACAATTTCTTTGTTTAGTTTATCCTTGGAAAGAGGGTAGAGAGACCAGCTATCGTAGATGAGGATCTTATCCGGGATCTGGAGGCGTGTGGGAGGGATGACGATGACTTTCAAACTGTCAAAGGGACCACTATGTGTACAGAAGACTTTTACGAATGTGAGATATACATTTACTTATATAACCGATTGCTCATGCGGGGAGATCAAACAGTAGGGAAGTTCAAAGAAGTTTGTTTGTCGCCTACGACGGGTGTCGGAAACACACATAGGCGCTGCTTTTCCGACGGCGACGGCGTGTCAACAATGTTAAGGTTTTGCGTTTAGCCCTGTTTCTGACAAAGCTTCACCAATAAAACCTCGATCATAGATTAAGCACGGGTAGTGGAGCCTACTGCACTAAAAACATTTTTATTGATTTCTCCATTTTTTTGGTAAAAAACTCAAATTTCTGGACTTAGAAAAAAACTCAACGTTAAGGTTTTGCGTTTAGCTCTTACATATTAGGCTGTTTCTGACAAAGTATAAATGCTAGAGCAACCAAACTTAGGTCATAGGTGTATCATGGGTTGTATAGCTGAATGCATTGCACTCTTTACTAGCATTTTAACGATTTCTGTATTTTTTTGGTAAAAAACTCAAATTTCTGGACTTCGAAAAAAACTCAACGTTAAGGTTTTGCGTTTAGCTCTTGCATATTAGGCTCTTTCTGACAAAGTATAAGAGCTAGACCAACCAAACCTCAATCATACATGTATCATGGGTAGTAGAGCCTACTCCTCTAAAAAGATTTCATGGATTTCTGCACTTTTTCGGATAAAAAACCTGAAATTTCTGGACTTTTTTTTTTTTTTTTATATAATTTTGCGATAGGTCCGTTTCCTTATGTACTTAGGTCATACACTTATCAATAATATCACATGTTACTAATACACAATAATGACATAATTACATTTTATTTTGTATCCACTTTCAGATCACGTCTGACTAATGACACTTTTTGCGTTTTAATTACAGGTGTGGTTATAATGCATGCTGCATATACAATTCAATCATATCTGCCTTTCTCACAACCTATTACCTATTAGGCTATCACATTGGGACATGACCTTCAATTTCAATTCTCTTTAAATACATCCTAAGTACTATGTCAACTGCTTATTATATTGACAAAGCGGAACAGGCGACACATATAATTACGCGTAATTCTTGCTTTATGAATAAGTGAATGTGTGTAATGCATCAGTTGAACAATATGGTGTTTGGTTATACAGTTGTTTAAATAAAATCTGACTTATACAGGGGCGGGGTTAATATTCTGTAAGTCTACAGATATTATAATTGAGGTCACTTACCTGTGCACGCTTACAATGGTAGAGCCATCCTTGATACTTCAAGTGTTAGGCTCACTAACACTCTCTGTCCTCTGGCCTATGTCATGACAAAATCGAAGGCTCAGCGTGCGTTAGAACACCAGTTTGATCCTTCGTTGAGCGAATGGCCGGGTTTTGCTTTACCTGAGACCAATCAAAAAGCTAGCCGAGTGTCTTCAATTTTGCCATGACATAGTCCAGGAGTGCAAACAGCTAAGTGATCGAAACCGTGGAGTATCCAGTTCGGGGTAGAGCTAACAGTTGTTACCATTGAGTATATAAGAGGAGTATCCAGTTTAGGGGAGAGCTTACAGTTGTTACCGTTGTGTATATAAGAGGAGTATCCAATTTAGGGTAGAGCTTACAGGTGTTACCATTGTGTATATGAGTGGAGTATCCAGTTTAGGGTCGAGCTTACAGTTGTTACCATTGTGTATATGAGAGGAGTCTCCAGTTTAGGGTAGAGCTTACCGTTTTTACCATTGTGTATATAATAGGAGTATCCAGTTTAGTGTAGAGCTTACAGTTGTTACCATTGCGTATATAAGAGGAGTATCCAATTTAGGGTAGAGCTTACAGGTGTTACCATTGTGTATATGAGTGGAGTATCCAGTTTAGGGGAGAGCTTACAGTTGTTACCATTGCGTATATAAGAGGAGTATCCAGTTTAGTGTAGAGCTTACAGTTGTTACCATTGCGTATATAAGAGGAGTATCCCGGTCGGGGTAGAGCTAACAGTTGTTACCATTGTGTATATAATAAGTGACTTGAACTTTCAATTCGAATAAAAAACATAAATTAATATACGTTTACAACTTTTAATATAATGGAGAACATTTATTTCATCATAATACGCAAAATGTTCAACAGGTCAAGCAAGATTGGATGGCGCATTCTGTGACTTTAATGAAGAGGATAAAATGGCTTTTATGCAAACGTTGAAGGATCATAATATCTGTAATATTGAAATGGAATCTCTGGGCTTTCTGGCGCTGTGTCGACATGCAGGAATCAAAGGTAATATATCATTTGTTTGACATAGTGTTTCACGTACATTTAATGGTATTTCAATAGTAGTAAATAACTAAACATGAATTTTATTTGAGAACGGTTGTTAATAACTTATCCCCAAAACCTTACTTCTGTATTCTGTTGTCTGAAATATAGGAGTAGATGGATGTTAGGGATTTAATTCCTGATCCCCAGAGCTATACTTTTTTGTTTTTTATTTTCGTAATACTCAGATTGTTCCTTCACCAATATAATGATACAGAATACTTTGCTTTAATCTTGATAATAATGACTAGTAATAAACAGTGCCTTTTTTTTGTGTTTTTTAGATTACTAAATTCATGATTTTTTAGCGTTCAATTTTAGGAGTAATAGAAAAGTTTTGTTTGGTGTCATTTTGATTTTGAGTAAATAAGAATAGAATAAAAAGAAACAGCACCATTCTAATAGCGGGTGTAACCGGTTGCTAATTCAGGAAATGTACAAAGGGTGAAAATTTGTATCAATAAAGTAAGTTCTAAAAATGAGGGGGCTCACGACCTGTAACACAATTATCTTTCTAAATCGTTCAGACGAGTCAAGTCCCTATCAGTGGTGTAAAATAAGGCGCACCACATATCCGCTCATGAATTTAAAAAGAAAATTATATTAAAACAGTATTATCATATCATTCTTTATCTTTTTGTATATGAAAGCAGTTAAATAAGACACTTAATATTTAAAACAATTAATTAAATGTTAATTATTTATATTTATAGTATTATCCAATGCAACATATTACTTGTATTATTACTGTAAAATATTATTTGTATTATTGTAAATGAAATATAACCAATGATGAAATATTTATTGTATCATTTCCAGCAAAGTTTTACTTTTATTACTAACAAAAAACGTTACAATTTTTTGTAGTTGTATTGCTACATATTACTAATGGAATATAAGCTGTATTTTAATATCAAAATACATTATTAAGCTACTATGTTTGAAATGCATTGGTGATCTTTTTCGTCTGTCATATATTCGTTTATTTGAATAATAAGAAATATCTTCTGAGTTTTTTTAACAACAATTATGTTTTAAATCGTAAAAGGAGTGATTTTCATGTTTCATGCATTGAAAATAACGTGAAGTAGAAGTGGTTTTCATCAAGAAAATGGCGAAGTATAGGTACTATTCCTAGTGATTGGTCAGTTACTTTTATTACCTGAAACCCAATTCAATAACTGATTCTGTGCCTTCGATTTTGAAATGACATATTCCAGAGTTGCTGAGAGCGCAAGTGAGCGACAGCCCTGAAATATGGAGGACAGGAAAACGTCAGCTGACTGTAATGTAACTGTTACCTCCGTAATTATTTAATACAAACTTATGACTTCCAGGTGCTGTGGCGTGTGTGACACTCCTTGATAGACTGAAACAGGACTACATCACTGTGGATATACCCAAACTCAAACTATGGCAGCTCCGCCCCCAGATGTTAATTAGCCGCTACATAAAGAAGAAGATAGGAGCAGAATTTGGCTAACTATCATCCATGCGGTTCATTAGATATTGCCTACACTTTGAGCAACTGTAGTGTTATTTAAGACATATCGTGCCCAAGAAAAAATACATTGTGGAAACTGTTCGAAAAATGTGATTTTGTTTTGAATTTTTTTATTACTTCAAGTCAAAATGTAATCTCCAATGATTTCATTGGCTGGGTGAACGTGTTCCGATGAGTCCGAAACTTTTGGTCTAGGTAACCTATCCATACATCACGACACCTGTCGGATATATATGATTATATCTTTAATTTAAATAACAAATAAAAAGCTTGAATTTAAAAATACAGACTATGCAAAACATGAAACATGATTTTTACGGTCGTAGTGCTAATAATTTCACTTTCTTATTCCGAGGTTTTAAGAAAAATACTCTGCGCTACAACTTTTTTTTGTAAGAGTTATTTTGTTTTATACTAAACAGATAATGTTACTTTAATACGTTATGATATGTTGGAATAATAGTCATAAGAATTAAACATTACCCCATACTGAAATCCAATTTCGTGATGGCATTTATCTCCCGCGTTCTGACGGCACGGAAGACACACAAGGCCGTGTCCTGGGGCGTTGTTCCACCTCCCAAGATGGAGTATGTTGTATGTAGTACGATGTCTTATAAAACCTGTCGACATCATTGTGAAACTTTCTTAAGATTAAGTTTCTATAAACATCTAACAAAAGTGTCTGTCGATGAAATGATGTTCAGTATCCAAATTATACTTAATTATTCTAAAACCTTTATACTTTTACCTCTAAATTCCTCAGGTAGGTTTGCACCTTAACGTCGAATGGGGCCAGAAACATTTCGATCACAAATTAAATGTCGTAGTAAATCTTTTTTCTGAAGACTTGTTATGTTTAACACTTTTGAGGAAAAAACCCGTCATTGATTCAAATTGAAATTCTTAAAAGAAATAAATCTCTTACAGGGAAATGTACACTTTAGACCTTGTAATGAAGAGTAAGTAAATATTGAATCACTGATTTTACATAATCTTTTGGTGTGAAGGTTTTTTCATTATCTTGTGTTGGACTATGAGTATATCACCGGGTTGTATATTATCTTGTGTTGGAATATTAGTATATCACCGAGTAGTATATTATCTTGTGTTGGAATATTAGTATATCACCGGGTTGTATATTATCTTGTGTTGGAATATTAGTATATCACCGGGTTGTATATTGTCTTGTGTTGGAATATTAGTATATCAACGGGTTGTATATTATCTTGTGTTGGAATATTAGTATATCACCGAGTAGTATATTATCTTGTGTTGGAATATTAGTATATCACCGGGTTGTATATTATCGTGTGTTGGACATATAGTATATCACCGGCTTTTATATAATCTTGTGGTGTAAAATTAGTATTTCTACGGGTTGTATATTATCTTGTTGTGTAAAACTTGTATATCACCGGTTTGTATATTATCCTGTAATGTGAAGCTAGTATTACCAAGTTGTATATTATCATTTGTGGGACAATGTGTATACCACTGTGTGGTATATTATCTTGTGTTGGGCAAAAAATATATAACTATAACATTATGCATTTCGACAACGTATATTCTTACCTAACGCAGTCATGTTTTCTGTTTTGCCGACTTACTCAGTTACGTGCCACGGAGATATTTTTCCTGATACAAATACTATGTCTGAGTTAACGCCTTATATATCGGCTCATAGAAGCGTGCTCATAACACTTTATGTTTAATAAAGGTCCCTGTGTGTTGGTGGTGTTTGAAACCTCGGTGCATGAAATGATACCGGCGCCAAATTTGACTATTCATAGCCATATATGTATACTATTTTATACATTATGTTTTGTGTTTATTTGAAATGTATATTTTGTATCTCAGTGTGATATTAAAACACATAATATGTCCATGGAAGGTGTCGTGTTATGAATAAAACTATATGATACCCGCATCGACTGTTAGATAGTAGATTACATGTGACCATCGATTATATTACAGAGAAGAACAGGCATATTACTTAGCCAGGGTGTTCTACCTGAGTGGCTGTAATATACGCTGCAAAATATAGTTGTTGCCATGACCTAATTTCCACTTTGAGATCTCGTGTCTGCCCCAACTAAAGATATAAATACACTACATTGAAATGTGTAACGTATAAATTCTTTGGTTGGGATACATCCTGATGTGTGTATAATATTGTACAGAAAATGTTCAACATTTTAGAGCATCTGGATTTGCTTTTTTCATGGGAGTTCACGATATCTCAACTTTTGTTTTATTGTTTCTTAAGTTCATATTAATGTCTCTAGTTTTAACTCTGATTTGTATATGCGTGTTGTCGTTGTTTCTATCTTATTATATATCACTTTCTGATGCCAGGTCTTCCCTCATATTAGCATATAGTAATATATTTCAGCGCTTTAGATCTAAACATTTAAGGTATGATTCTGAGTCGGATATAATTTGATAAGGGAGCTTATATCATTAAAAAAATTAGTTTTAGATTCGATAAATGTATGAATTGAAGAGGTTAAAAATAAATTAGAGTTAACTCCCTTCTCCTTTTTGATCAGTCCAGTGTTGGTTTCCAGCTTTTTGCGACTTTCGTTTTGTCATTGTACACCAGCATTTGAACGGTGACAGAGAAATGACAAACAACAAGCAAAGATTTGAAACGTAATGGACGTTAGTCCTGAAGATTAAATACATGTGTGAGAATTGCTTTCAACAAGTGCTGACAGCGATGATCTACTCACCAACAAAACTTTTAATTAAGGTCGACATATTTGACACGAATCTATACTATTACTTATTCTCAAAATATATCGTACATAAGGACATTGCAGGATAACTGCTGATGAAATAATCTCTTACTATACCTAAATTAGTTTTGACACAAAGACAATGTTCAAGCGCTGTTTTGCACTATGCATGCTGACGTCTTGTACAATGATACATTTATCCATGTTACTCGCAATATTTTTAACGTCAAACTTTGAAAACATACAAATACATTATAGGTTTTTGCAAGTGTTTATACATCTTTATTAAAATCATCAGCATTAGTGAGTAGTTTACTTGTTTATACATTAACCTGACATCTTTCATGTTTTGTTATTTGTAAACATTCAGGATCCTTCTCTGTGTCTGTTGACGGGATAAACTAGTTAATGAAGAAGGAAGAATGCATTATTTTTAAAAGTTGTTAATTTGATTATGTGAATGGATATGCAAAATGAACGATTTGCCATTCGTCGTTATAATAAAAGAAGGCAAATCGAAGGATGGTGTTTTTCGTCAGATCGGGATGCATTCGAACAATGAAACACTATTTCTTTAAAGGAAAGCGATAGAGGCTGCAAATTAATTTGTTTGGTTTAATTCTGAGTTGAAACAAAATCAAACCGTAAGAAATATTGACATATCACCCTCAGATGATACCGTTCCTATTATAGAATTTGATTTACACATATGTATGCGATAGGAAATGTGAGCTTATATCATACAACTCAATAGTTGTATTTGGAGTTCTACCACAAGACTTCATAGGTTATTGTGTAAATATACAAACTACATAACAACATAACTGATCGTCATTAGTAAGGAGTTAACTGTTCTTTGTACTTTAATTTTAATAAATCATCAACACATCACCCCCCCCCCCCCCCCCCCCCC